AGGTCTGGGGCTGGGGCCTGCCCCATTGCAGGCCAGCGCAGGGGGGGTCAGGTCACTTTAGCCCCCCCCACGCCGTGCCATGTGGGACCGCCCAGCAGCCTGTCTGGGCCAGTAGCTGGCCTCCAATAGGGACCAGCGCTCGCTGCTGCAAAGAAATCCCCCATCATCACTTGGGTCATTGCCCTGTCCCCGCCCGAGCCCAGCTGGCCCTGCGCTCGTCACTGGGCTGCTGCTACAGCTGCCTTGTGCCTGCAGGGGATGTTCGAGCCGTATCTGAAGAGCTTCTACATCAGGTCCACGGACCCCACCCAGATCAAGATCCTCAAGGTGAGTCCCATGTGCCAGTTCTCAGCTTGGCACCCCCACGCAGCCCGGGGCTAGCCTGGGCACCAGGCTGCCCAAATACCCCTGCCACGAGCCATCCTCCCAACCCCCCTGAGAAGTACCATCCGATCCTCTGGACCCCACGGGCAGGCCCATCCAGCCCTGTGACTCCCTTCTCCCCGAGCCCAGGCACACACGGTCGGCTGTGCCTGGGCTCTGTCGCCTCTCCATTGCCCCACGGGCAGGACCCGCTGTCCCTGGGGCTGGTCTCTCCGGGCACGGGGGGCTGGGTGGTAAATCCGCCTCTCTCACATGCAAGTGCTTGTGCCGCTCTCTCCCTCCCCTCCAGCTGGAAGTTCTCACCAACCTCGCCAACGAAACCAACATCTCCACCATCCTGCGGGAGTTTCAGGTACTCAGGGCTGGGGGGTGGGGGCAGCGCGGGGCAGAGATGGAAGCATTTCAGGGGTGATGTTGCCGGCCTCGAGTGCCCCACCCCTGGCAGCGAGCAAGGGAGGAACCATTCACAGCCTGGGAGGAGCTGCCTGAATAGAGCGATGGGAAATAAGGCTTCTCCCGAGATCTCAAGGCTTTCACTGACTCCTGCTCTCAGTCTCATCTCCACCCCCACTGGGAGCCATAGCCAGTGCCAGAGCTGGGCAGAAAATGGGCTTTGGGTTGGGGGAAAGAGCGAGAAAATGGAATGTTTCAATGTGGAAATGCTGCCGCCATGTCTCATGGGAGTTGTAGTTCAGCTGTCTCGTATCCCCGTTCTCCTCCGTGGGCTGTTCTCCCCGATGTGACTACATCTCCCAGGATGTCCTCAGTGTTGGAGTTCCTGCATGCATCATGGGTAGGGCCCCCGAAATTCACCGGCCCCTTTGGTCAATTTCACATCATAGAGTTTCAAATGTCATAACTGCAGCTATTTAAATCTGAAATTTTCCGGTGGTATAATTGTAGGGTCCAGACCCAGCAAGGCATTGTTCGAGGGTAGCAAATGTATTGTAGGGGGGGCTGCCGTACTTCTACCCGGACCTCTGTGCTGCTGCTGGCAGCGACACTGCCTTCAGTGAACAGCTGCCACGCTCGGGCTGCCCAGCTCTGAAGGTAGCACAGAAGTAAGGGTACCACAACTTCCCCAATATAGCCTTGTGATCCCCCCTGCAACTCCCATTGGGTCAGGACCCCCAGTTTGAGAACTGCTGGTCTCCCCGTGGAATCTGACTCGTGCACGGTGTGACGGACTGGGCCAGGTCTGGGCACAGCTGAGGGCGTCTGCTCAGGGTGAATTGCTCAAATTCAGGGCTCTCTCTAGCCCCCAGACTAGGCCACACAATCGGCTGTCCAGGGTGGGTCCCTTTAAGCACAGGCCTCAGATAGCCTCAGGCAACAGCCACACAAAGTAACTCCTGATCTGATGCCTTGCCAGACCTGGTTCTGGCTGGCCTTAAATGCGATTCAGCATCCTCTCAGTGTGGATGCAATATTTCGAAATAGCAAAATGCTATTTCGAAATACATTTTGTGTATAGATGCATTATTTCAAAATAAATTATTTCAAATTAACTATTTTGAAATAATGCTGTAGTGTAGACATACCCTTACAGTGGTGTCATGGGGAGTATTTGTAAGGAACTCAGAGATTAAATGTGCTACCTGCTTGCCAAGTATTTCAGTATATTTGAACATTAGTTTTCATGAATACTTTGCAGTTCTTAAGCAAAATGTCCTCTCTGTCCAGAATGTACTCATGAGGTTTGAGTTGGTACATTTATTCCCTGGTTGGCTTTTTTAATATCACCTTTATTGTTTTGAACTAGTTTGATTTATGTTTATTTACATGGAATACCCTTCATTTTCATTATTTCCTGAGATGGTCTTAATGCTCATCCATCCTATTGGTCCTGTTGCCAATATCTTTTTTATTGAAACCTAAATTAGATAACACAACATCAATCACCTGCCCAAGCAATCAAATTCAGCAATGCGTAAGGAAAAGGGAAGGTAAAAATAGGACAAAGTGTAAAATTTGCTATGAAGAGGGAAATTATTAACATTAGCAATCTTGCTTTCAGGAATACTTTTCTGTGTCTTTGTTACATAAACATAAAACTGTTAAATTAAAATTGAGTGACACATGCCTTTTATGGAATTTCTCTGAGGTGCTTGTTTAGATTCTGCAAACAACTAGGGTATGTCTACACTACCCCGCTAGTTCGAACTAGCGGGGTAGTGTAGACATACCCTTCTTTCCGACTCGTTGATCCCTGCAATGCTGCATCTGGGATGAAGAGCTGAGCCGAGCAGAAAGATGGAGTCGGCCACATGACATATGTATATCCCCTCCTGGCTTCTTCCAAGCTGGAGAGTCACATGGCCAGTGGCCAGGTGTGTCTTTGGCCTCCAGAGGCCCATTGTTCCCTGGAACTTTGCTCATTAGCATGTCCATGGGCAAACATTCCCGGCCCATTGCTCTGCCTCGGACAGAGAATCTTTCAGCATCAACACAGAGTCCGTATTCATAACTCCACATACAGACATTATACAGGTATATGAAGAGCAGATACAGAATCCGTAGACAATAAGCTTTTGTTTGACTCCTCACATGGCCCCCTTTGTACCAACTTTTGGGGCAACCCTCCCCCCATGGGCACAGCAGTGACCTGGCTGCTTCCCTTAAACTCCGGTAACGTGACACAGGGTCAGAGCGCACACAAGACCAGATTTCACCGTCCGTGATGCCTTTTTCATGGCCGTAGATTTGGTAGGGTAATACTCACGGGAGAAGGCTGGAGGAGCCTGGCTCTACAGTTCCCAAGAGGCTCCCATGGCCACTGAGTGCAATCAGAAAACTTTGGGTTTCGGTTGCTTAGTTATTGAATGAAAAAACCTGCATTTCCATGGGAAGCAGAGCCCGTTTAGTTGGGAACTTTGTGGGCAGCCCTCCCGAGTCCGGGAGGCTTGGCAGTGGCTGTTTCATAGTTACCCCCCAAAGGGCCGGGTGCGGGTTTCTGGGGGTCCAAGCCGCCCCACTTCATTAGGGTTTTGTTTTTACGCTGACCGTGGCCCTGTCCCGCACTTCCCGGGTTTGGAGAGCAGGCATCGGGCCCTGGGGGAAGCAGCCAGGTTGTTGTTCAATGGTGGGAGCACACATGTAGGGTCTCGTGTAAATTCCTTGGGGTGTCTGTAGGTGCCCACACAGCGGGCCTGTGCACTGCTGGGCAGGGCCTGCTCCTAAGCACAGGCCAGTGTGAACCAGGCTTTACCGCCAGCTGCTAGGAGCCCAAAGGCAGCTGCCGGGAGTCACTCCACGGGGTCAGAGCCCAAGCGCTCAGCTCTCGGCTGCAGCGTGGTGTTCTGACTCCCGGGGCATGCTGGGAAAGCTGCCACGCCTCTTGTCCCACAGACCTACATCCGGAGCATGGACAAGGACTTCGTAGCTGCCACTATCCAGGCCATCGGGCGCTGCGCCACCAACATCGGGAAGGTCCGAGACACCTGCCTGAACGGCCTCGTGCAGCTCCTGTCCAACAGGGACGGTGAGCGGCTGTGGCCGGGCGGGGCGGGGAGAGGGGGCTTTCCACGGGCTGTGTGCGGGGATGCTGCTTAGAGCGTGCGCTGAAGACCCAGCAGTGAGTGAAGGCCGCGGACAGGCTCTGGCTGGGGGCGAGGGCTGCGGCTGGGCAGAGCTGGCAGAAGGGAGCCCTGGGGTGGGACCTCTGCCAGGGGTTAAAACTCTGAGCAAACAGCGGGTGTTACTGGCATCGCCGCCACCGGCAGCACTGAGATCCTGCACAGCCCCGGCAGGGGGGCAGAGGAGCTTCTGCTCCAGAGCCAGCCATGACCGAGTCCTGGAGATGCAGGGGACGGCGTCTCCCTGTGCTCATTGCCAGAGGGCATGTCTCTCTTCCCCAGAGCTATTGGCTGCGTCCATGCAGTGTCTCTCTGTGCTCACTGCCCGGCGAGGGGGTCTCTCTTCCCCTGAGCTGGTGGCTGGGTCCATATGGTGCAGGGGACGGTGTCTCCCTGTGCTCACTGCCCGGGGGGGTCTCTCTGCCCCCCCCCGAGCTGGTGGCTGGGTCCATACGGTGCAGGGGATGGTGTCTCCCTGTGTTCACTGCCCGGGGGGTCTCTCTTCCCCCAGAGCTGGTGGTGGCTGAGTCCGTGGTCGTCATTAAGAAGCTGCTGCAGATGCAGCCCTCTCAGCACAGCGAGATCATCAAGCACATGGCCAAGCTCACCGACAACATCCAGGTGCGTCCGGGCTGGGGATGGGTGGGGGCTGCGCCCATGGGAGCAGTGGGGTTAGTTCAGGGCGAGCTGCCCTCCCTGTACACTGCACAGGGGCCCCCCTTGCACCTCCTGCCAGCCCCTACCCCAGGGGCTGCACTCAGTGCCCCGGTGCTGGGTCTGCTCTGTGGGGCCCTGCCCGAGTCAGACCGGCCATGCCTCCTGCCCGCACCGCCCCGGCAGGCCCCGCTGGCTCTGGCACCACCTGGCTCCTGCGGCGTATCCCCGGCAGGGGCAGTGCCACGCAGGCCGGGTGCTCTGCTTCCCCAGAGGGGCACACACGTGGGCCCTTGCGGGAGCATCCCTGGAATGCAGTGGGGCCTTCCTGCCCCCCAGGCCTCTCTTCCCCACTGGCTGAGTTTCTGCCCCTCCCCCCGGGGCTCCGTGCTCTTGCACTGTGGGTCCCAGAATTCCCTGTGCTGGGGGCACCAGAGCAAAGGATTCTGGGATGTGCTGGGTCGGTGGGCCTGGGAGCGGGGGGGACCCTGGGCAGGAGCAGCGAATCTGGGCCCAGGGGGCTGTAGGGGGTGGGCAGGTCTCCTGCGAGCTGCACTCGCCCCGGCTCCGGGGGTCTCCTGGCCCTCTGGGGCGTGCCTGTGCTGCAAGGCGGCTGGAAGGCCTGTGGCAGAGCGGGGCTCTGGCTTGTTTGCGTCGGCAGGTGCCCATGGCCCGGGCCAGCATCCTCTGGCTAATCGGCGAGTACTGCGAGCACGTGCCCAAGATGGCGCCCGACGTGCTGCGCAAGATGGCCAAGTCCTTCACCGGCGAGGAGGACATCGTCAAGCTGCAGGTCATCAACCTGGCCGCCAAGCTCTACCTGACCAACTCCAAGCAGGTTAGCGGCTGGGCGACGGGGCGGGGGTGCAGG